GTGGCCTTGCCAGAGGTCCCTCCCTTAAACAGACCCAGCTTCCACAATTAGTGTGGACTCAAAACGCGTTAGTTATGGCATACATGAGGTCCTGAAGGCCTCATGGGGCTATTTACACCTCTTTGGACTATTTCCAGGACCCCAGATTATACTGTACATGTAAATTAAGGAAGTCTCACAATCCAACAGCCCTGACTGAAACATGCAATGTAGCCATATCTTATGCCTCATTTCCCAATGCTTTTCTTGGCCTCATTTTTACAATTTTACCACCCTGAAAGATAAACCCTCTGTATTCTTAAAATTATGTTTTAGAAAGGATTTCTCTCTTTCCCATTCCTGAACATAACTGGTTCTTTTCCTACAGCACAAAAATTCAGGACTAATCAAGTTTCTCCTTTGGCATTAAAGTCATTTAGGATTTATTTGCATTCACCTGGCCAAGTTATAAATACCATCGAACACCTATATCATGCAGTTACTTTACTTAAAATAATAAATCGGTTTCACTTAATAAAATACAAAACCAGATGAAGTCAACCAGTGTACCCAGCTACTGGGAACATATAATTAGCAGGCAGTGGGGGAAAAAAAGCCAAGATGCTGAGAAAGAAGACGACCCCCTCTCCCCGGCCAGTAAGTACACAATGTCAGCTTTACATATTCTACAACACCTCAAGTGGAAATAATTATTATTTCATTTTTTATCTATGGCTTCTAGTATATACCCAGAGAACCTGAGCTTGGTTTTGGTGTTTTCTCTCTCCCGCTCACTTCTCTCTGCTTTTCAAGGCCTTTTCCCTTGGGGTCTCTTCTTGTCTTCACAGGCACCTGTATCCAGCCACATTTCCCAGTTAGATACTCCTGCCTAACAACTCAGAACCTGACATACAGTCTCTTAGTAAACATTTGTTGCGTAAGTTTTGGAGCCTGAAACAAGGAAACCTATGATGTATGAAGAAATAATGCAAGTTCAAGAGTCAGGAAATTAGCTGAACAAGATTTGATAACAATAGGGACAATTATGATGATGAGCTTTTGATGATAACCTTATGTGTGTCTAACACTCTATAATAGAAGCTTTAAGTATATAATTTTATTTTAATCTAATCAACACAACACTAGACATCAAGATGCTTATTTGACAGGTGAATAACCTGAGGCTTTGAGCTGTGAAGTAATATGCCCACAGCCACAGAGCTATTAAGTGTAAACTTTACTGAGATTTATATGCATGTCTGTTCAATCTTAAATGAATGCCTTTTTCATCCCTTTCAGTCTGGTTCTTCATTATTTCATCTATTAAATATGGATATTTTAACTTCACTAAGTTTTCTTCCAGCTTTAAGATATTTCATATATAAGGTGACACATATCTCAAGAAAATTTACAGTTAAGTTAGTTTTCCTTGTTGAATAAAATCTTGCAAGAGACAAGGGAATGGGTCTCTGAAGCTGAAAATTTAGAAGCCCTGAAAGGAAAGAGAAGAACTTTGGTGCAGCTTAAGCCTTACTGGAAATTCCAGGTATACCTAAAGCTGGAGTTAGCATTGTCTTTTTACAGCAGTCAACATTTACTGATAACTTATTAAGTACCAGACACTATGCTAAAAGTTTATAAGTATTACTTTACCAAAAAACAACCCCTATGAGAGCTATGGTTATTCTCAATTAACATATCAGAAAAACAAGCTTAACTTGACCAAGTTCACATTGCCAGTATGTAGGAGAGCTTGGACTCAAACTCAGATATCTTTAACTCTGAAGCCTATAATCTTAACTTTGAGGTCATACTGTTTTGCATGCTATCTATGTACATTTAATTTGATTTCTATTAATGTCATTTTTTGTCATTGATTTTAAAATAAAACCCATCATATATATCAGAAATCTGCTTAGTTTGTTTGCTAGCACGTAGCTCAGTGCTGTATATGTGGTGATACTTAAAAAGTATCTCATGATGCATGCCTTTCAGTGCAATTAAATATCTTTGGGTCACTCTCAGTCACATGCCTATGAGTTTTACAAGCTCTGCCTCCCCCCTCTCTCTACATATTTCTTTCTTCCAGAGTGTATAGACTATCAGACATCAAAAGAAAATAGACAACCCACACCAATGTGGAGATTTGCAAACTCTAACACGAGAAAATTCTCCATAGAGAAAACATAATGCCTGGGTAGGTGATTGATTTAACAGAAATCCTACCTAAATGTATTCCCTATTCCCACCTTCATTCCTTCTGTACTTATTAGAAGGGATTATTGACACTTTCAGAAGATATAATCTCAGGGACTCGATAGCAAATTATCTTTGGTATTAAGAATTGAGGTCAGATATTATTCTGTATATTAGGCCAGCCTGATTTTCAGTTTAACTATGACTGATATTATACACTATTACTAATTTATTTGCAGGTATAAAGAAAAAAATCATATTATGTTTATATATATATATATATATATATGTATAATGTTATTCTGTTTTTACCTTCTGAAAGAAATGACCTGCAAATTAAGCTACACAGGAAGTGTAGAAATGCTCAAAAGTGACCCCATTTAGATTCTGTAACTATTTGGAGGGAGAAGATTTTAGAAGCTATAATTTTGTGATCAAATAAGTATTCATTTTGATTTTAGCCAAGTACACATTTTGTAAAATAACACCAATAAGGTGTGCTATTTTTCACTAACCAAATTCTTCACAATAAAATCCAACTGTAGTATTCATTTAGAAATTTGATAATGCTCTCTTGTGTGAGTATTAGGAATATTTGAAACCCCATTGCATATAAATTATATCATGGAAAAGCTGTATAAATATTCTATTATGGCACATGCTGTTCTAAGGATCTGTCAGGATTTCCTTTATACACTCCATTTTGAGTGGTATATAAATCAGATGTAAAAATTCATGTTGGACTGAAACTCAGCACAAAAAGCCTCCTCCAGAGGCAAATGCTTTTTTCAAAATGTGGTTTGAATTATGTTGGTCATGTTTAAGTTATAGAAGTGCAGAAAATGTATTTGTGGTTTTGAGGGAGAGAGATTTTTTCCATTTTTATAACTCATTAGAAAACTTTACAGGCCTTCATACCATTCTGTGGTTTAGTTCTTCTCAGGTTTTTCCCCAAAGCAATATTAAAACTTGAATGGTGTCTGCTACGAATCCAATAATTACTGTTCTGAATACAAATGTATGCGTGGATATAGATATAGTTCTACATATCTTCAACTAGGAGAACTTCCAAAAATATCACGACCAAGGTAGAAGATGAGGCCTATCAGTTGGCGAGTCTTTTGGTATCAGTCAAGTTTGACCTATCAAAGGAATCCCCTATCCAAACCACAGTTTAGGAGGCATTGCTTGCAATTTTAAAACCACATCTTTAAATTGCAGAAAAATCCACTGAGTTCAACATTGTCTTTTTTATGGGTTTTTAGACAATAATGCTGCACCTTTCTAAATTTTATTTTATTTAACATATAGAGCAAGTTACAGGGTGTTTAGCAGATTGTCACTAATTAACTTTTTTAAAGCATTTAATATGTATATATTTATGTATATGAATTAGTTTGCTAAATAATGTTGAACTTATTTTGTTTGTGTAGCTAATGTGTTAATTTCATAAACATCTAACTTATTATTTTAGCCTATGTAGAGACTGTTATATTATCTCTCTTAATAGCATTAGTTAAAATCAAAGAAAGTTTGATTTAGATCAAGAAAGTTGGCCTAATTCACAAAGTTGATTAAGTCAATATTTCAAATGACTTTAAAGGAAAATAAAAATAAACAGAACTTGTATGGTTGCATTGCTTTCACCTATACTGCATTTAGTTTGTTAACACATTGAAAAAATGCATTTAGTAGTTATTATTTATCCTTTAAAGCATAATTTTTTAAAAATTTCCCCATGTTGTATCTTATGCTTTTTATTAAATTCCACTTAGAGAATTCGATCCTGAGTATATTGATTCCAAATACAGTTCCCTTTTCAACATATTACAGTATTTCTGGTACAGTCACCAAAATCTTTGGTTTAGGGACAGTTAGTATGGAGCACTTATAGGAAGATCAAACATTTGCCTGTGGCTGCAGCAATGTAGACTTTCCCATTGGGATACTGAGGAGCAGAGGGGGTCTCACTTCTCCTGAATGTTTTATCCACTTGCATAGTGTCACTGAAATTAGCCAGCCATGTACTATAGAGACATCTGAATACCAGTTTTTCTTATTTTTCACATTAACAAGAGAGCAAGGTTACTAATGAGGGGTCACATCCCAAATCTCTAATCTATATAGCTGAATATCCCTATTTATATTTGGGTCATTTTTTATTCCATTCTATTGACTTTTACTAAACTATACTAATTTATGTTCCATAATGTTATACTTGGTTATAATTAATGAAATTTTGTATGTGACTCATATATCACACATGTACTTATGTGTTTCTATTAATCATTAATTTTTCTTAAAGTTTAAATTAACATATATCACTTCCAACATCCCTGTGTAACTTAAACAGTCATTAAGAAGTTCTTTGCAGCTTTTGGGAGAAGTTTACAAATTTCTGAGAACTAGATACATATTCAAATATAGTTTTATGTTAATCAAAACTGTTTCAAAGTAAAGCATAGACATTTAAAAACTACTGAAAATAAATGTTCTTTAAATATCAAAGTAAATAATTTCATATGTGAATAATCTAGATTTCATGGTTTGAACAGGAATAATTTATAACTCATTAGGCTAGTAATATACACATTGCACTTCACCCCCAACCTATTGCATTATAGCCATATTTTTTCTCACATTTGGAGAAAGGATAACAGTGTTGTTATTTGAATAGATTTGTCCTTGTTAAAGCCTGGCACCATTTTTTTACATACTAAGCAGTGTATTTTAAAATAGAGTGAATTCCTTACGACACATGAAATAAAGAATGACATAAAAACTTTAAGATTATAAACAGGAAAGTATGTAAGATATATCCTCACCTTGATTTTACCTTTAAGCAGCCTTTTATTTGTCTATTAGGAACTTCTTTCCATGGTTTTGCAGGCTCCGGCTCTTGTTCTTTCTTTTGACAAATGAATGTATAATTTGTGCCATTATTATTTGACCAAAATGTACCAACAGAAGTTTCATAACGTATACAAAACTCAACTTTACTGCCATCTTTTTGATAAGGAGGAACCAATGAAATTTTAAAGGAGAACTGGTCAGTTTCACCATCACATGAATTAGGAATATATTCCGCTAAAATGTCATAATGTGTCTGCCAGTCATCTAAAGACATTCTTACATATACTAACTTCTCAAAAGAAATATTCAAAACTCGAATAATACCCTTGATACATGTAGACCCAGGAAGAGACTCAGTTGACTCCAGTATTGCTTTCTGTACTTGGAGTTGTTGCATAAGATCTTCTTTTGAAGAAGGCAAGGCAAAGAGTGGGGTTAAAACATATTCTTCTGTGTGGAAAATGTTCGTCCCTAAGTCAAAAGTGGTTGAAGCACTTGGTAATTCCCAGCAATCAAACTCTTTAACAGACACGAGATTGAATCCAAAGGAATCAGCAAATGAAACTCTTCTAGTACCTGAAGATGAGGTATTCAGGTATATGTCTTCAGAAGAATCAGAACCTCGTCTACTCGGCTGAGGGGAGAAACCAGGTTTGAAAGTAACTTCTTCATCTTCACAAAGAGAGTCACATAAATTAGGAACTTCTAAAAAATTATCTTTGCTAATCTGACTAGGTACTTCAGAAGGCTCCATTGGGCTCTCTGATATCAAATAAGAGAGAACTATACAACTAGTAGAGGCTGATATTTGAGATACTGAGGCTTAAAATAAGTATAATGTTACAGTTGACATTGCAAAAAGAAGTCAGCTCTATAAATAGATCCAATGGCGTGTCAACTATGCTAGCCTGCAAACTCTGCTAGCCTGCCTCCAACAGCCTTGAATATGATAGCATCCATGCTACTCCCTCCAGTATGATGTTTCAGATTTCACTCTCAGTTTTTACAGTTGCATTTGTTTGTGAGCTAAGTTCCAAAGAGATATTTTTAAATCATGTTCTGCTGTATTGGAAATCCTGGAACTTTAGGATAAAAACATTATTTTAATCAGTTGATGTTAAAAATGAAAACAGATTTTTTTAAAGAAAATAAAAGTAGTATCACAATACTGAATATGTAGTTTGAACTAAATTAATCCATGGAGCAGGTACGTGCAAATAGGGAAAGATAAGAATATTTACAGAACTGGAGAGATCCAGATCTGACTAACAATGACAGCTACCATTTTCAGGGAATTATAAATGTATTGTTTTCATTACAAAAGGGTTAAATAGAGGTGCTGAAAGTTCTGAGGAAGGAAACACGATGCTGATGGAGAAGGTATAGTTTTAAATAAAGCATAGTGTTAGTGGAATTTAGACATGCAAGGTTAGAGCAAAGTGGATTTTCCAAGTAGAAGAAATAGCCCAGGCCGAGGCCTAGAACAAAGTAATTAAATTCATTACTTTAAACATTAGTATCTTTCTTTTAATTAAGCCATGGGAAAATACAGACATTTGTTACTGACTTGCAAATATAAGTGGGCAAAGGTAAGCCTGGCCCAGGAGTAAAACATTTATGTAGAATAAAATGTTCTTTGGCAAGCGGCCATTTTATGCCCACAAAGCAGAAGTTGATACCATAACACCTTGAAATTTGATGTGAGTTTTAAAGTATAAACAGCCTGCTTAGACTGTCATATGTTTTTTGTGTTGTAAAACCCAAGTTGGGGGATGATAATTTGGTAAAAACCTATAAAAATTTTAATTGCACACAATTTGATCCAGAAATGCCCCCAGTCAGAAATTTGCTCTATCAGTATGGGAAATTATATAAAGATAAACACAGATATATGTTCATAACAGAATTGTGGATTTACACATTTCTAGAAACCTATTAAATGTCCCTTGAAAAAGCATTGGATAATGTTACACCCATGTAATAGAATGTTTTAGAAAGATAAAGTAGCACTTCATATGCTAATATGGAAAGAAAACCAAGATAAACAGCTAAGTGAACAAAAGAAACTGTGTACAGACCTGTGCATAGAAAATTACTGAAAAGATACAAAAGATGATGTTAGCAGTATTTACTTCTATCCATAGAGCTTAAAGGTGGCAGAGGAATGGGGGACTCTTATTCATTTTACTTTATAGTGTGCTGCACTGTTTGAAATGTTAGACATGAGCATGGTTTTCTTTCAAAATAGCTATGAATTAAATTAAAAAAATATATAAAATGTGAAAGGTTATTAGTTTTGTTTTGTTTTTTGAGATGGAGTTTCACTCTTGTCGCCCAGACTGGAGTGCAATGGTGACATCTTAGCACATCGCAACCTCTCCCTCCTGGTGAGCTCCTGCCTCAGCCTCCCGAGTAGCTGGGATTACAGGCATGCACCACCACACCCAGCTAATTTTGTATTTTTAGTAGAGATGGGTTTTCTGTATGTTGGTCAGGCTGGTCTCGAACTCCTGACCTCAGGTGATCTGCCCATCTCAGCCTCCCAAAGTGCTGAGATTACTGGCATAATTTCTTTCAAATGAAAACCTCATTAATATGGTGTAACTTATTAGATAATTTGAATGGCATAAAGTAGTGGATGGAGAAATTTTCTAAAATTCTAAGTGACTAGTGTCTAGAAGGATAAAGAAATGAAATTATTTAAACTTTATCTCATCCACATAGCTAGAATGGGTGGTGACCACATGGATTGCTCAGGAATGGGTAATAGCTATGGAAATGTCTGACCCTTGCAAACCTGATGACCACAAATAGCTATATCTCAAGGTATCTAAAATATACTGCTATGTAGTCAAGGAAATCAGTAACAAAATGCTTTATGGAAATAAGTAAAATAGTCCATATAGCCATGTACATAATAGAATAATGAAAATTTAAGATATAATAATGTACTGAAATATTTTAACTATCCAGAGGTTAGTCAGCAAAGGAATGGAAATGAAGACCCCTGGGTCCATTTCTTGGCTCTGCTGCTTACTAGTTGGATGACCTTCAGAATGTTACTCAGATGTTCTAACCCGCAATTGCCTTAATAGTCAAAGTACAATGTTAAAAATTAAACAAGATGCTTGTTAAATGTCTAGCACAAAACCTATGGTAATAGCAGCAGTCATTATTTTAATTCCCATATATGTTGATAAAAGGCTGATTTATAAGATATATCAATAGATATATGGATAGATATGTAATCTGTCTAGCTACAGAGAATCCATATATATCATTAAGAGATGATTTGTAATTTGTTTCATTTTTGTCTTTTTCAAAGGCTATAGTATGTAACACTTAGTTTTATAAGACAGAATATAGCTCTACATTAGAAAGTGGTCTTGTTATTTGATCTAAACTTTTCCTTTGCTAATGTGTCTCTTTACACAGAGCACTATTCCCTTGATTTGTAGTAATCACTGCCTTTCTTTTGGAATTTATAACCTTCACATAATCGTAGACAGTTGACATGTTCCCCCTTAGTCACCACTTAGCTAAAGCAGAGTGATTTCATCTTTTTAATCTCTTCTCACATGTCAATCCTCCAGTGCTTTCTATCATTTTCTTACTCCTCTATGAACTCCTTCTAGCTTGCCTATATTTTTCTGTTAATGAGCTGCCCCCAGATGAATGCAATATTACAGATCAAGTGTCTCTGGAGAATGAAAAGAAATACTAACAGCCTTAGCCTTGTGACTTGGTGTTTGCATTAAGTTAAAAATCACATTTCCTTGCTTTGTTTCCACATCCTGGATCAGACCGAAGTCGCATTTTCGCATATCCACCACTACCTCAATTCTAACACAGGTTTTATCACACTCTTCCTCAGCTGCTAAGGTATAATGTTTTCAGAAGAGTTAGAGAGAGCTTTTTCTTTTTTTTTCTACAAACTACAGCTCAACTCTCCATGCATTACATATTGTTTGGTATTAATCAAAGGTTTTCAAATGTACCATTAACATAAAAAGAAAGTATCAGTCAGGAACTCAGTAAATAGGAAATAGACGGCATGGTCAAATAAGATAATTCCAGAAGGGTTTATTTACAAGGGTTATTTATAAAGTGTAAATGCAGAGAAGCAACAAGAACTAGTGTGACAAACTGGGGTCAGTTGCATCAGAGCTTTTACTATCCCTCAAGGGATAAGGGAAGGGAACACTTACCAGAACTTAAAAGCAAAGAGTGCCATAAAGAGTTTACCAGCTGGAGACTTGGTTAAAGGACACAGCCAGTTGAAGACGACTTTGCCAGGACTGATCCAGGAGCATAAATATACTGAATTCACTCCTCTTCTTTTGCATGATGTCCTCCAGAGCTACCTATTGGCCAGAGAGCATGGAACTATTATAGTTCATTCAGGTCAGTCTCCTGCAGCAGAAAACAGGGAGGAAAACGTTGAAAAGGATGACAACTGGATTTGGATGGCAAACAGAAGATATGAGATATGAAATATATGCAAATGTAATTATATATATATCATGTATACATATGTAATTTAGAATACCTATGAGTGTTCCTCTTTATTTACACATACTCCATCTCAATGCCAACTGAGTATCTATTACCTGAACTTCTATTGTCACGGGTTCAAGAAAAAAAAAGTTAAAATATCTAAGGTCTGTCAGCTCTGATCTAGTGAGAATCACAAACAAGAGAAATTGAGTTTACCCACAAATAGGTAGAAAAGAAATGATCTATTTTAAAATTAATTAGTGCTTTCCATTTCTTTCCCATGTTAGAATAGGTTTTGCAACCTAAATTCAAGAAACTTTTTGTCAAAAGAGAGTCTGAAACTGCAGTTTTTAAAACTAGAGGTAGATGTCAAAATCACTGGGAGAGATATTCAAATCAGATTTTCCAGGAGGATGATGCTTCACATGTGATTCTGATAGATAGAACTGGTTAAGATGCATAATCTCCTAGTCTGTCTGCCATAGTCAGGGTCTTCAGTTCCAGTTATGAAAACAATTATAGCTATTATCCCTCTATATATGATGTGCTGTTTTTAGTAGGAGAACTATTAAATGCTTTTACAAAACACACACACACACACACACACACACACACACAAGAATTTTGTCAAACTTTAAGGGCACTTAGCAATTATCTAGGCTAGTCCCTTCATATTCACATAAGAAAACATAAATTCAGAACAATGAAGGACTTCAGTATTTAATAACAGAGAGCAGACTTGAACTCAGCTCTCTCTTTCCTTCAGTCCAATATTGTCCAAATTATTCCATACATATGCCAACTTCTAGTTTTAGAATTCATAATTAACAAATTCATCATTCTTTGAAAATAGTCATTAAAATTAATTTGTTCTGGATTTCATTTATTTTTTTTAAATCAATTAACTTTTGTGAACTTTCTTTTTTCTATTTGATGAATTATCTCCAGGGGTGTCCAGATAATTTTTCTTTGTGACAAGGTCTTTCAACCTTTTCTAGCTTATGCCCCCTTTAATAAATTTAATATCTTATACTGTCCTCTCTGTCTCTCAGAGCCACTGCTATATTTCTATTTGGGAATTACTGATTTAAGTTATAAAAATGAATTATTTAATCTCTTAGAACTGATATTGATATTTAATAGTTTAAAAGACCACTAAAGGATACCACTTCAAACACAGTTTGAAACACAGATTTGTTCTTCAGATGTCAGTCATGAAAAGTATTCTTTGAAAATGTTCATATCTACCAATAGGGCATGCAGAGTTAAGTCAGAACAGAATGGAAACTTTGCAAAATACAGGTTTTTTTTTTTTTTTTTTTTTTTTTTTT